AATTATAAAACACTTGACCAACTTTAACTAAAAATATATTTTAAAAGATAATAATTTTTGTATTTGTTGTTAGATTTTCATTTATAATATATTAAATTAATCATCTCATAACGAGCTTCGATTTGACAGCTATATTGCATATATAAATAAATGTGTTACCTTTGTAGTAAAAATCATTATATATCAATATTAATTGAATAATAATAAAATTATTTATCAATTAAGTATTTTTGTCTATCAAAATTCATTATAATATGACTTAAATAACGGGTGTAATTTGGAGTAACCTATGGTCCTATATATATGTGATGTGCATACTTTAAAATTATAAACCACTTCACTTACTTAAATCATAAATATATTTAAAAGTTAAGTTTTTGTTTAGTATAAGGTTTTTTTATATAATATATCAACTATACAGCTTTATATTTCTTTATATAAAATTAAGTCAACTTTAATGTCAATTGAAAAGTTAATAAAATCATATATCAGTTCAATAAAATATCTATAATTTCCTCCATATATTAATGCAAAATGTACTTGTGCTTCATATGTGTTCAATTCTGGTGCTTTGTGTTATAAATATATTAATATGGACATTACTAATATATAATTGGGTCTGAAGTCCATTAGTTAGTAGGATTAGGTTTTAGGGTTTCTCCTTTGTAACCTCTATAAAAAGAGTGAATACCGATGAATAATATATAGACTTTTATGTTTCTCTTTTCTCGTTCTTTTACTGCACCTCTTTTTTGTCAGGTACTTCTCTTGAATGGTACACATGATAGAGAAACTTGCGACTTTACAGCTTCCTGCTTTGTCACAGCTATTACAGATGCTCTGAATCGAAAATATGGAGGCCCCCATAATTGTCTTGTAAATTCTGTGAGTTTTTCAACTTATACATATATTGTTGTTTGTATCATGGTATGCTTATTCTCAATAGAATGCATATCAAGATAGGGCGAACATAGAAAGAGCTGTTGATTTCAAGGGTTTCCATTTCTTTATGCAGCCAAGTCAATACATTAACACAGTCTTTGCACCAAAAGAAGGCCAAATTCCTATAGATATTGATTCCTTGGCTGCTCAAGGGATTTTCCATGTGGTATGTGTGTATTTTCTATACATTATTCGAATTCTTTTTTCTTCCCTTTTTAACCCATAGAAAACATACAATATAAACACTACGAAACAAGCCTTTGCCGAAAAACCACAAAATGTAGAGTACCATAAAACTAAGAACCGTGAATATGATGAATTTCCATGTCTCTGTTTCATAATGTCTTTTCCTGCCAGATGACGTGTTGCACACACTTTTGTCTTCATCTCTTCTTATAGTTAATTTCACAAGAAATCATTTTTTGTAGGTAACTGTTGACTCCGTACATGATTCATCTGGAGGGATACTTTATGACCCTAAATCGTTAACACAAACTCTGTCCAATCTTTTAAGTGGACATCCCGAATGATTTTGCAGCTACAAAAAGGATACAAGATCGCTACATGTCTTCAGCATTGTTGCACCTTGTTTTTGTGGTACAGGTTTATATACAAGTTGCATCACGATTTGCTCCTCATTCTTATGAACATAATTAGTAGCTATTTTTTTACGATGGAGCGCAACTTATACGTTCCATGTGAATGTGATGAATGGCCTTGACATGCAACTTTGCAGTTAAATGCAGGATAAATAAAGTACACATGTAAACCACTTCGAACTTTATATATGATATATATGTGATAAATTTTTTTAATTACCAACATTAAATTTTTGTTTTATTAAACACCATAATTACGCTCCTAATCAATTATGGAAAGAAATTAATAAGATATTAACGTCTCATAAGCCATATCTTTATATTCATATGTTACCAAAAAAGTTACTTTGAAAATTGATCAGTATTGGTTGAACAACAATTTATTGTTGGTTTATTTGTTGTTTAATTTGTTAATTATTTTCATGTATTATAATATTATTTTAATTCTTGTATTCATCATGAATTTGTTACTAAGAATATAAGATGAGTAGCAAAATAAAAATATAATTTATATTACGTATATCTGTTAGTGATGGAGAATATATATGATTAAAATTATTATTATTATTATTTTCATTATTAGCTAAGAAAATAAGTTATGTTTAGGGTTAGAGTCTTATTTAAAGGCTCATTCTGTTTTGTATTGGGAGAATTGAAGAATGAATTAAAATTGTTCGTGTTCTTTCGGGAGAGTATCCCAAGTTCGAGAGAGTATCTCGTATTTTTTCCATTCGTTCATTCTTTCGCTACATCAGTTAGTAAGTAAAACTAAGGTTTATATTTATATTGTCGACAGAAACGAGAACATTGTTGGAGACATTACTGCCAGTGTTGTTAAACTTTGGATTCGCTCGAAGTCAACACTAAATTTAATACAATATGAAAATTAATTAATTCAACCATTAATTCTGAATAATACGAAATTCAATCGAACCCAAACAAAATGCATAGCCTTTCAGTTCCTTTGACTTTCGTTGGGGTCATGTATGCGTGCAACCACCAGGAATCATAGATGGGGCTTCATGTATTTCAAACGAATGACAAAAAATTAAAAAATATCCCATGAATCGTGCATTACGGATGCATGGTTGGCCTGATGGGTGAGTTTGTTTGCCGACATTTTCTCAATAAGGAACTGTGCACAAATTGCCGTCGTCCACGGCGGAACGATGACCCTTTATCTGTTCGCCGCTCGATCCGTAACCCAAAGATGAAGACCTTTACTGGATGTCGCACCTTCACAAGTCGTCTGCAGTGACGAACAACATTCGTCGTCCGATTGTCGCTGCTCGAGGTGCAGTCTACCTTGACACGAGGCTTGATTACTGCACTCCGCACTTGTAAAATACGTACATCGGTCATCCACTACTCACAGTGGGAGTGGTTGCCTCCCGAATTAATGTTGGGTGTGGAGGTATAAAACCGAGGGGATGGATAATTGAAGGAGGAGAAATTGAGAGAAGGAATTTGTGGTTTTAGTTTTTGCAATCCCGTGAAGAAAAAGATTATGGGTCCTTAGTCGGAAGATGAAGACCCTTCGCTGGATGTCGCACCTTCACAAGTTGTCTGCCAGTGGCAAACAACATTCGTCATCTAACTGGAGTAGTCCACCTTGATACGAGGCTTTATTGTTGTACTCCGCACTGCTGAAATCCATGGGCCATCCGCTACTCATGGTGGGAGTTGTTGCCTCCCGAATTAATGTTGGGTGTGGAGGTACAACTCCCGAATTAATGTTGGGTGTGGAGGTACAAAATCGATGGAAAGGAAAGTTGAAGGAGGGGAAATTGAGAGAAGAAATTAATGGTTTTAGTGTCTGCAATCTTGAGAAGAAACGAATGGAGAAATTTGAGGAGGAGGAAAAATAGAAAGACGAATTAATTTGACCACATATTATTATCACAATAAGATTAACGTATTTTTGTTTTTATTTTCTACTTAAAGGGTTATTGTGTGCTGCTACGTGGTATAATTGGCATTAAAAAGTTAAGGAGTAATTAAGGACATAAAAAGTTTGCATGAGATAATTTTCTCTTAAATGTAAGAAATTTAATAAGCATATTCATTCTTATTAGGCAGAATTAAATAAATCAAAGTCATGTAATTTTAACAGTTCATAAAAGCCAAATCTTCGCATTAATTGTATTTCACATAAATCTTACAAAATCCAACTTTTATTCATTCCCTACTCTTGATCTTTGTTCGTCTAATTCGTCCTCTCAAATGTTGTGTTCGTCTTTACTTATGAATTGTTTCTCTCTGCTGCATCTTTCGTATCTTCATAAAGTCATTGATGTTGAAAATTTTATTTTAAAATGAGTCGAGAGAGAGGCGTGTAGTAGTGTATATATGAGAAAACCTACAATCATAACCTACTACCATTCCACATGTTTTGACCTAACTTATTGCCCAAGTTAAACATCACAAATTGAGCTCTTTAATATTAA